TATGAATATATGCTACTAAAGAGTTTGAGTTTATATGTCCATTAATTGGTTGTTGAGCTAGATTCTCTATATTTCTATATTGATTAATATAATTTTGAAGTCTATTTTATCCCTTAAAAGAAAAGATGTATGCGGAATTAATACTGATTCAGGTTTAGTACATATAATCTATGAAACATAATAATTTTTAGGTTGAAAATTTGGCAAAACAATAAAAAATCGTGGAATGGTGTTAAGTTTCATTAATAAAAAATTGTAATAGATGAAGTAACAATTCAAATTTTTTGTATCCTTTACCTCGAAAGTTTAGATTAATGAAATCGCGTTAGTAAATATCATTCAAATAATGTTTCACCAAAACAATCGAATATCTTGGAAAAAAACTGAACTCGTTACTAATTTTATATCTCTTTGACATCGTTTATTCGCATGATATTTGAGCACATAATTGGCTATTGTGTAATCCGCATGCTAAAATATTAGTATAGATGATTAGTTTCGGACATAGTTACCAGGAAACTAATTAGTTCCTAAGGAGTTCCTCTAATTTTTCAAGACAGCTCAAAGTCCACACAATGGTCTATGTAAGTGACAAAAATAATTTATTCTCCCGCTAATTGATTCCCATTGTTTCATTTGAGTTTTAGTTTTCTTGGCTTCATTAATTGTTATATATCAAACTTGATACTTTCTATATATGGGGGAAAGATCACATTTACAATATTATAGCAAGACCGAATGATTTTAGAAGAAACTTTAAGCATACCAAAGTTAATAACACAGCGAACTAAATGAAGAAAAAATGAATGGTATGGACTCAAATCACATGCTACTACAATATAAAAAATGAGTATGTCGGTTTGCCTTTTCAATGTTTCATTTCAATCAAATATTAGAAGATTTGATGATATTAACGTTAATGTTTTTTATATATTATCACACTGACTACTATCATGAATTGTAGACTTAGGCTTAGGTTTGAAAATAAATGGCACGATGAAAAGCACGGGTGATTAGCAATTGGGGAAGGATAAACAAACACTCACATGCATCCATAAAAGATTTGACAAGATGGGGTCGAAAAAAAGATATCACACTTAAAACTCTAAAGACATATTTACCAAAAGAAAATCAGTTTAGGTGTTATTTAACAAAACAAGAAGGTAGGGTCATGGTCCTCATGGACTCATATGGTTAAGTTGTTATTTAATTAGTCTTCCTAATGAATAAATAAATACAAGGTGCATCAAAATGTCTTAAGACCATGAAGTTAAGATCCAATGAAAAAAGAGATTAAATTAATAAGTCTCAAGTCGTAAGAACTTTTAAGCCCATCGGTTCATGTCTCCAATTACACTAACCGGTGGGTCCATTTACTTATCGAACACTCGCTTGACCACAAGTACTCGTTACTTTATATCATTTTCCTTGAAAAACATTATATATATATTTTAGTTTATTTCATGCCAATTTCACATTAAAACACTAATATAGTAATATCATGTCGTTCACTTCAATTTACATGGGTTTGTTTTCACTTATACATTAAAATAGTTATATTTTGCCTTAAGTCTATAGACATATAGCTGTATAATTTTTATTCCCCACAGAAACATGGTCATTTTTAGAATATTATTTTTAGTTTTTATTATATTTTAAATGTTGATCTTTTTAATGATGACGAATAAATCTAACCCATTGCTACATTTTAATATATAACAAACAGTTCTACGAACGACTCCATAAAAAATAACTCGATTTTACTTCTTTTTTTTTTTTTCTGTGCACCAACTCAATTTTACTTCTACCCGAATTATTTCATGATAAACAATTCTATCTTTAACACACGGAAACACGATAAGTTGCATTACGTAAAGTTTTGTGATAAGTTTGCTCTATTAATGTATTTGTATTTAGTGATTGGAGATTATATAACAAATTAACACAACGCCATATAGCATGACTATGACAGAGTTAGTCATAGCAATAATAATTCTGCTGATTCTTGTCGCATCATTGAAATTTTTTTAGATGTGTGGGGTTGACGGTATGGAAAATAATTTAGATATTGGTAAGGTTTTGGATGATGCAATGAAGTTTTGTAGCTTTGAAATGGTTAGTGCCCTTTATATTTTGCTTTTGGTTGACAATAATTTTGAGAGAAAATGATAGATTTGTTATAATACAAGAAAGAAGAAAACAGAGTAAAAAAGAAAAGGAGAAGATCTTTTGTTGGAGACCAAAGAAGGTGGGGAACAAACTCAAGACATAAGTGGAAAACATAGAGTTGTATAGATGTAGGCATAATAGCTAGGCTTATAGGGTACATTAATATGTTTGCACCAAAACACTATATTAAAATACTAAATGGGAGGTTAGGAATATAGTAAGGATAGTAAACGCATATATTCGACCCTAATCTGGAAAATTCGAATTGAATAATCTAAAAAGTTTAACAACATTGAAAATATGGTTTTGACCGTGAAAATTATAAAGTAGAGAGGGATAAATAGCCGGCAAGCAAATCGGATCAAATCACATTTGACTATAATTTAGTACATCAATGTTGGACTAGGCATAGTTCTAGCTAGTTTTTTAAAGTTAAATTATATGCGCAAACGTCATGCACAAGTCGGTTTTGGTAGAATTTTCGAGTGTTGATTTTTTGACAATGAGATTAATTTTGTTTCAAAGAGCATTTGACTTCGTAGGTGATAAAAAAGATAAGTTTGGCATCATGCATGGTTAGAAGAGTTTCAGATTGATGTCACGTCTATTTGATTCGTATCTCTTTAAAAGGGATATATGAGAGCACCCTCAATGGGGGTTTCTAAACATAGATTTCTTAAATAAAATGAAAATGTAAGTATAGATAAATAATAGTTTTTAATTATGGGTACCTTAAATTTGGAGAAACTTAGCCCAATTGTTTCTTAATTAAGAAACAATTGGGCTAAGTTTCTCCAAATTTAAGGTACCCATCTAATATTTAAATAATATACATATTTTATTATTTATTAAGGATCATGTTTAGAAACCCCTATTGGGGTTGCTCTGAGGCTTTTGTAAGGTAGAAATTAATGAGGTCCAAGAAGACAATAAAATAGCATAATTTTTTGTAAAGGTGATTTCCATGACTTTTGAGTTTTGATATATTTGGGAGGATAATAAAATCGCATAACTTGGTTATTTTTTCATAGTTTTGGGAGGATAATAATTTCCAATGGTGCACTTGAATAATTTAGTAGACACCTAGCAAATTGAAAATGAGGTAATAATTAGATTCATTCAATACAACTTATAAATTTTGAAGACAAACTTTGGTAATGGAAAAGCTTTAAGCTTTAAAGGGTTTATGTTTGTGGACCAATTAATGTCTTGGCAATGAACTGTTTGGCTGTCTACTTAGTGCGATCAAGAAGACAAAGAAGAAGACGAAGAAGAAGAAGAAGAAGAAAATGGTGAGGTATAATAATGATAAGATGGAGAAAATTGGTTTTTTAATAAAAATGAATACGTTTTCTAAATTGGGTTATCCTAAAGATAAATTGTTTCCTCTTTTTGTTGACTCGTTGTGTGTGTATGTTTTGGTCATCGATGCATGATTCCTTCAATTGGTATCAATAATATATTTTTATATGGTTTGTGTATGAGTGGGTGTGAAAGATAATGAGACTTCTTTTTCCTTTTTTTTTTTTTGTTATCCCACTTTCTTCAATTGTTCCCCATGAAAAGGTTCGTGTCTCACCATTTCATTATCCTTTTTGTGTGAGCCTGTTTAACAATTTCTACGAGGAATTCGATATTCCAAAAATATTATTAATGTTTTAAAATATGGTCTATGCGAACCGTATATACCATATCTATGTATACACATATATGTTATATTTATATAAGTTAACTGTTTTTTATGGCAAAATGGATGTGTATATGGTGTTTAAGCGTTGTGTATACAATATATTTATCCACCGCACATATGGTTGTCTCTAAAACGATGAAAATTGTTTGTTTACATTTTAATGTCTTAAAGAAACATCATTTTGTTCTTCTTTAAAATTACGTGACTTTGTTTATCGTCTTAGTTTTTTTATCATCATGTTCTTCTTCAAGTGTTACACAAAACCGGCGAGTTCAGAGGACCCCAAGAATCAAAAGCCAACAAAAAAAATGATATTTTCCTAGAACCACAAGCCGGGAAAACAAAGATAAATTTCCGAAAACAAAAAAAAAAAAAGAAAAGTGAAACATGTATGAAGCTAGAATAATCATAGAAAACATATCAAAAAATTTAAACCAAGAATCTCCAGATAATGAAGCAATCACGGACTGAAGGAACTGTACATCAGTACATGTATTACTTTACATCGCATATATAGTTCATGATTATATCTTTGTACTTGTTGAAGAGGTAAGAAACACAATAATATTTATGTCAATAAAAGGTTTTCTTTTTCTTTTTGGATTTGTGGATTGTGCCACTCACTTACAAGCTGATGTTTGGGTTTACAAGTGATGGCACACTTGTTAGTAGCCACATTAATTGGATAATATATGTTTCATTCCTTTTGTTCAACATATTTTTATTCAATACATTTTTCAACAACTATTTTTTCGTGTTTTTTGATACTTAATTTCATTCGCAAAAACGATTTAAAAAAAAAAAAAAAAACAGAAAAACAAGTCAAAAGAAATTTCATAGTTCCCTGAGAATATCAGAAAATATATTTGTGTGTGTCAGTCTCAGTGTCTCACGCTCATATATATAGTAAAGAGAGAAATAATTGAAAATATTCTGACACCTTTTCAGATTGCAATTCACTACAAAAAATCCCATTCAAGTAAAAAAAAAACCTTAATGTAACAGATAATATTCGAACACAATTTGAAAATTTTCTGTCTGACAGAGTTTTCAATATGTCCACTCTATTTTTATTTCTTTCTGAAATTTCTTGCAATCATACAATAACCTTAGAAGAAATTAACAGGGAGAGTTTGGTTATAGTCAGTTCCCCATTCTATTACGTTTTCTACCATTTCCTAGCTACTATAGAACAATGGTGAGATTGAGATTTGATTGGCACTAATACTAACCATTGTGGGACTGGGATCACTCAAAAACAGAGACTTGTCCATTCCAGCTACAAGCTGCGACCACGTTAGGTAAAACGGGGTGGTATGTGACATCAACGCAGGGCTGTTCATAAGCCTTGAGCTTCTTAATGAGCTCAGTGGATTTGTAGCTGTACATGTATATGGAACCGTCAGATGAGCCAGAGACTAAGGTTTCTCCATCCGGGCTGAAGTTGCATTTGATTGGGAAACCTGCAACCCAGTGACCTTCGAATCTCTTGTATTTGTTGAGCTTGAAAGGTGGGTTTGTTGAGAAGATTGCAGTGTAGTTCCCGTGTGATTGGGCGATGAAGACTGGGTCTTGCGGGTGACGTTTGATGCAGGGGCATGTGTATGCTTCTACATAGACCTGAGAGCAACAGGGAAGACAACAAGAAAAATATCATTACTGTTACGATGTCATTAATGATAGTCTTATCTCTAAGAATGAGAGTCTAAAATCACTGTTTAATAATCCTTATAGTAATGAACGTAGTTATAGAGTGAGTGTAAGCTATGCGTTGTTCCAAATGTAAAATGGACAGTGGAACCTTCTGCAAGTTAATAATCATACTGAAATAAAGTTCAGACAAATGTAAAATGGACCTTTTCAAACATGTCGCTAAGATAGTTCCTGCTAGGACTAGCTTGGTCAGGAAGGTAGTTATGATGAGAACCATTCTCTGACTTCGTGGTGCATCAAACAAAAGAGCATACAACAAATTCCTATAGAGAGGAAAAAAGAAGTTTCCTTTCTTCTCTATGAAACAGCTATTAGAAACGTTAAGCATCTAACTTCAAGAAATCGAAAGGAAAATTGCAACACTTACTTCGCACATTCATACATAAACATGTTCTGCTTATGTCTACAGATGCAGCTAATTTTTTATTCCCAGATCTAAGCTTAACTCTGTTAGCACTTAGCATATAAATTCTGGTTTATTAGTGACATACTGATACTTTTCATCATACTGAATTAGAAGAAAATTCAGCATTGATATAACTGAAAGAAGGTTATTGACAGTGATAAACTGACCTGATTAGATAGAGGAACCTCTCTCGAAATATCCCAAACTATAACAGCATTCTCGCTTATATTTCTGCCAGACACATCACTTGAAGAGATAAACCGCTTCCCACCCGCGATAAACTCAACATCAAGAATTGCCCCAAGATCTCGGATGTATTCATGCACGACTTTGTTGGCCCTAATGTCCCATAATCTAAGACTTCCCTTTGATCCTCCAGAAAGAAACACGTTACAATTATCTGGATTGAACTTAACAACTCCAATAACCTGATCCTCATTGAAAGACTGTATCTCTACCCCTCTTTCAACATCGAATAGTCTTGACGTGCAGTCATATCCACAAGAAAGCAACGATAACCCTTGCTTTGACCACTTCACATCTTTAACCGGTGCATTATGATGGAGAAAAGCCCGTACTTTCTTCTTATCATTGCTCCACACATTCCACACGTAAACAACACCATCAAGCCCCACAGAAGAAAGAAGATGAACTGCACAATAACTCTAATAAACAAATGAATGAGTGAGGCAGAGGATAACATCAAGCCAATCGTCACCAAGGTGAAATTCAAAAGCCACAACAAAAGGCAAGAACATACCATGACTTGTAGACCAATCAATAGCAGTAACCGCCTTTGTATGGCCGGTTAACGAAATCGACATTCTACTAGGCATTTCGGTTCGCAACGAGGATCCTTTTGGTCGATGTGTAACCGAAGATAGAACATGGCGAGGAACATCAGAATCTGAGATACTCCCAAGAACTGTGATTAAGAAAGCTTCATACAAATTAGCAGAAGGCAACAGCATAATTCATTGCCAGATTAACAAACAATAAGCAATTACTCAAACTAAAGAAGAACAATTAACGAAGATTTCTCTTTGATTTAAGCAAAAACTAACACCAACACTAAATTCTAAAACCACGAATTCACAGCGAATTGATTAAGCATAATCGCAAGTACCAGTAGGAGAGCTAGAAGGTTTCTGATTCAAATCGGAACTTTGATCTTGAGTCGGAATCGTTGAAACGGAGGCTAGAAGTGATTTCTCTCTCTTAGATACGTACCGGCCTGGAACCGGAACCGGAATCGGCACTGAAACCGAAGAGCTCGTTTGAGATTCCGAATAGGAACCGTGAGGAGGATACTGTCTACGCGGTGGTTTGTATTGTCGCTCCTCCGGGACTGGATATGGACGCTTCGAAGGAATAGACGGTGCTGCGGTGATTCCAGATGTTAAACGATCACTGGCCACTGGTTCAAGTTCGTCGTCGGAGTCATTGGCGTACGAATTGCATATAAGATCCATCGGAAACTTGAAGTTGAACCACCGAAGAAGTGACCGGTGATCGGAACAAAACTGTAATTAGCCTTCGATGAGAAGGAGAAGGCTGAATATTTAGTGGGCTTTATTTGGGCCAGAAGAATGCTCCAGGCCCGATAGTATATATAAACGCTTAGTAACAGACTTCAGAGTCGGTCCGAAACTCCGAATGATGCAAAGGTCTTTATTTTTTGTTTTGTTTTATATGTTCAAAATTTTTATTAACTATTTAGTTATCGAAAATAATAACTCATCAAATAGTTATAATGTTATAAGAAATAAAATTACTAATTAATAAAGGGGGATTAGCAAAAATACCCCTTTTCTCATGCCCCTTTTCAAAAATGCCCCTTTTAGATGTCCATTTTCAAAAATGCCCCTTTTTAAATCTGAAATTTTTATAAAGTTTTATTAGGTTTATAAGGTACTTATGGATTGTAACTACTACTTGAAGACTCGATCCAAGTATTTATAAGGTTTTATAAGGTGTTTTTAAAGGTTTTACAAGTTATTTTAAAGGATTTTTAAGGTTTTTCAAAGGTTTTACAAGATATTTTAAAGGTTTTTAAAGGTATTTAAAATGCATTTATAAGGTATTTATAAAGTATTTATAAGATTTTAGATACATAGAAATGTAGTTTGTGTATGTTTTAATAATATTACATACATATTTGGGTAAATCTTATATTTTTAAAAGCATTTTTTATAAAGTTTTTAAAAAGGGGTATTTTTGAAAAGTGGCATTGAAAAAGTGGCATTATTAACAATTTCCCATTAATTAATAAATGTATATGGCCATTTATAAGATATTATTTGATTAACAGCTCTAACTCATTATCTTAATCAACTCCGACATCTAGATATTACTCATATCATTAGTAATATACAGTAATATACTAATATGTTTGTTACCATGATATTCGATATAATTTAACGAAATCAATACAAAAAATCATGTTTGAAATTAGATTTTTTTAGCAAAATAGATAATTTATAAATGATTATTCTATTTGGAAGAACATTAGTGAAATAAAATAAATTAATATTTATAATATTATATATATTCTAAATTAAGTTAATAACTCACCATGATAATATAAAAAATAATTGGTGAAATATAAATGTGTATGGATTTATCAGTCAAAATGTGTTTGGTAATTGGTACAAATGTGTTTGTTGCCAAAAAGGAATTGATCTAATTTATTTAGTTTAATAAAAAAGAACATGTTCGAAATTAGAAACTGTTGGTGTATATATATTTAAAAATAATTACTATATTTATAAGGACATTACTGAGAAAAATCAATTATTATTTTAAAATATATATTATAAATAAATTTGATCACTGAATATCGACAAAACATAATTATTGATACATAAACACATAGATTTACCCAGGGGCGGAGGCAGTGAAGAGGGAGGGGGTCAATTGACCCCCATAACATTTATGATTTTTGTTTTTTAAGGTAAGTTTCATGATAATTTATGGATATTTTGGTTTAAAGTTTTTATAATGACCCCCATGCAATCAATTGATTCCTTAATTTGACCCCTCACATATTTATTTTTCATTTAGCATTAATATATTTTCTATGTTTGTTTTGTGTATTTTTTAAAAAAGACTACAAATCTCTAAAATCGTGGTCATATTAATTTTTTTTAGACATATTCTATTTGTTTTCCAAACCTATTTTTCAAAATTGCTCTTAGACATATTTTATTTAGTTTAAAAATAAGTGATTTAATATTAATATATAATTAAATAAAAATAATTAATTATATTTGACCCCTATAAACTAAAATTCTAGCTCCGCCACTGGATTTACCTAATGAAATTGTTGTTTGAGGATCTTTACTAACAGTGTCTTTTTCATTATATTAATCTACTCCGACATTTAGATATTATCTATCATGATACAAATTTGTTTGTTGCCAAAAAAAAATCGATCTTATTTATTTAGTTCAATAAAAAGAACATGTTCGAAATTAGAAACCGCTAGTGTTATATATAATTTAGAAAATAATACTATATTTGTAAGGAACATTAATAAGATAAAATTAATTATTATTTTAAATATATATATATATTATAAATAAATTTAATAACTTACTATCGACAAAACATAATTATTGATACATAAACTTGTGGATTTATCTATATGAATTGTTGTTTGTGGATCTTCACTAACGTTTTTTTTCATTATATTAATATACTCTAACATCTAGATATTACCCATCATTGGTAATTTAGTACAACTGTGTTTGTTGCCAAAAAGAAAGCGATCTAATTTAATTAGTTCGATAAAGGGAACATGTTCGAAATTAGAAACCGTTAGTGTCATATATAGTTTAAAAGTAATTACTATATTTTTATGGAACGTTACTAAGATAAAACTAATTATTATTTAATATATATATATATATATATATATATATATATATATTTAAATAAAATTAATAACTCACTATCGACAAAACATAATTATTGATACATAAACACATAGATTTATCTATTGGAATTGTTGTTTGAGGATCTTTACTAACGGTCTCTTTGTCATTATATTAATCTACTTCGACATTTAGATATTACCCATCATTGATAATTTGGTACAAATGTGTTCGTTGCCAAAAATAAATTGATCTAATTTAATTATTTCAATAAAGGGAACATATTCGGAATTAGAAACCGTTATTGATATATAAGTTAAAAAATAATTACTATATTATTAAGGAACGTTACTGAGTTAAAATCAATTATTATTTTAATAACTTAATATCGACAAAACATAATTATTATACATAAACTCATGGATTTATTTATTGGAAATGTTGTTTGAGGATCTTCACTAACGGTTTCTGTTTCATTATATTAATCTACTCTGACATTAAGATATTACCTATCATTGGTAATTTGGTGCAAATGTGTTTGTTGCCAGATCTAATAAAATTAGTTAAATAAACGAAACATGTTAGAAATTAGAAACCGTTAGTGATATATATAATTTAGTTTGAGGATCTTTACTAACGGTCTCTTTGTCATTATATTAATCTACTCCGACATTTAGATATTACCCATCATTGATAATTTGGTACAAATGTGTTCGTTGCCAAAAACAAATTGATCTAATTTAATTATTTCAATAAAGGGAACATATTCGAAATTAGAAACCGTTAGTGATATATAAGTTAAAAAATAATTACTATATTATTAAGGAACGTTACTGAGTTAAAATCAATTATTATTTTAATAACTTACTATCGACAAAACATAATTATTATACATAAACTCATGGATTTATTTATTGGAAATGTTGTTTGAGGATCTTCACTAACGGTTTCTTTTTCATTATATTAATCTACTCCGACATTAAGATATTACCTATCATTGGTAATTTGGTGCAAATGTGTTTGTTGCCAGATCTAATAAAATTAGTTAAATAAACGAAACATGTTCGAAATTAGAAACCGTTAGTGATATATATAATTTAGTTTTAAAGAACGATACTGAAATAGATTCAATTCTTATTTTAATATATATATATATATATATATTATAAATAAAGTTAATAACTCACTATCGACAAAATATAATTATTAATACATAAACACATGGGTTTATCTATTGGAATTATTGTTTGAGGATCATTTTTATTAACGGTTTCTTTTTCATTATATTAATCTATTCCGACAGATATTACCCATCTTAAGAAACAATGTGTTTGTTGCCCAAAACTCGATCTAATTTAATTAGATAAATAAGGAACATGTTCGTTAAAAACCGTTAGTGAAATAGATAACTTAGAAAATAGTTAATATATTTTTGAAGAATGTTAGTGAGATCAAGTCAATGATTATTTTAAAATATTATAGATTTTATAAATAAAATTATTATATTTTGTAAAAAATGAATTATTCATCAAAAGTATACGAAGTATAAAATACAATTATAGATAAATTAACATATATGAATTCATTTTTAAAAATTGTTGTTTCAAAATTATTTTAAGAACTTTTAACTCATTATATTGATCTACTCCGACATATAGATATTATTACTCATCATCAATGGTAATGTATTTACTACCGAAAACCCAATATAATTTAAATCAGTTAGGGAGATTTTAAACAACTAATATATCACTATATCCTAACTTTTTTTTTTTTTGACACCATATCCTAACTTAAGAGATTAGTTTGTTAAACTCTTAAACTAAAAATTTGATGTGATATAATATTGTTCATGAAATTACTTGTATACGATCATTTCATCATGCGTTAATTGCGTCCTTAATCTAATTAAGTAGCTTATGTGGTTGGATTAAGTGTAACTCTACTTATTTGACTGAGAGTAACGATAAATTTTCTCACTTCGCTTGTATAGATTTGTAATTTTTTTCTTTTTTGTTAAATAGATTTATAATTTTATGAAAGCCATTCACAATATAAAAAGATTCGCAGTCAATCAAAACGTAAAAGATTGTACAAATCAAGACTTGGACTAAATTATTGATTGGAAGTTGAAACAGATTTTGGTGGTATATAGAACAACATTTCCGTAACATAAAATCTGCAAGAAAAAAACGTCTCAATATTTCCATATACGAAAAAAACGTGAGGAACATTTATCAGTTACTTAATTTGTTGAAAATAAAAGAATTTTTTTTTGAATTTTCTCCAATACATTCAGACGATAGGAGCCGTTCCTAGCGTTTTAGAGGCCATAAGCGACTAAACGTAGATCGTGCAATTTTGTAACTCGAACGAAAATCTAATTTCTATTTATTCAAAATAATAAAATTTTATTACGCTAAAGAAATCATAGTTACTAAAATATTATAGAAAATAGAAATTTTATTCTTACATACCAAAATTCTTTTTTTTTAATGAGATTTAGTGTTCAATTGGTTCTAAAATTATAATATAATATGTAATATGTTCAATATAATCTATAAACATTTTATATTTACAGAAAACATTTCTGTTTAAATTAATTAGAGAGGTTGTAGACAAAAAAAATACTAAAGAAAAAAGACAAATTTTAAATATGAAGAACATTACATCAAAGAGTCTAAATTTTTAGATATAAAATAAACAAAATAAAATGTAGAAATTGAGTAAGAAATGGAAGTAAAATAAGAAGAAATTTAATTGTTTATTTTAAGAGCATGGTTAGTGGGTGTTGTTTCATACATGTTTCCATTTCTTCTTCTTTTTACTTCCTTTTATTACTTATTACATAATTGGTAATATCATGAATCCATGCAATATCATCTGCGCACAATTATCGTTACATACATTTAAGCTTATAAAAAATTAAGGCCTTAATGTTTGTTTTTCATAGAAGGAGGCCGTAGGCGAGTGTTTCAAATTTGTTAACGTGGCCACGGCTCTGGATAGGACCCATGCATATCTATAACTGAGTTTTATCTTGTATATCACACAGGTGAGTTATAAAAGTCCCAATAATTACAAGGACCCAGCAGAATAATTAAAAAACCGAAAAAAAACAAATTTTAAAAAATTATAGAACAAATGGTATCACAAGTCTCACGCGTGTAAGACTGCATGAGCCACACGTGGGCCAAGCTAACCGGTTACCTGCTGCGTCTTCAACAGAAGCACACAGAACAAACGACCGCTACGAACATAAGTGACAACTCATCTCCAGGTAACCGGTACAAATGGGAACCACAGAAAATCCACGTGGCATAACTCTATTAGCTACCGTCAAGTGAAACCGGTCCCCTGATTGGTTAACGTAATCATATTTCTCAATTCTGGGCCCTACTGTACTATGTATCGCGTGACTCTCTCACAGTGGCATTTTTGTAATTTTAAATTAATTTAATAAACTACCTTAATTATCTATTATTATCTCTTAATTAATCATATATTCGTATTTAGAAGATAAGATTTTGTATCTCCAAATAGATTTCAATACATCCAAATAATCTTAGCTGATAGATTCGAAGTTGGAAAAGACGAAATTACCCTTCGAAGAGTGAGATATTTTTTTGGCTGCCGCAGAATTTAACCGTTACTTTGTTTCCCTTTCATGCAAAAGCTCTATGACCCAGAGCTTATGTGGCACACTGCTTAAGGACGAAAAGAGTTTAAACATAACTGATATTTCGACAAATATTTTATTCTAGTCAATTACATACATTAAATCACAACAATCAAATTGTAACTAATATTTTATTCTTATACTACTAAAATAAATAATTGAATAAACAACATTTTTAGTGACGGTTATTTTACTTTCTAGCTAGTACCAATAAAGAAAATAAGTAATACTGAGCACTTTGTTGTTTTGTGATATAACTCACAAAATTTTATTTCGTATATTTTAACATTTTATTTTGTTTTGTCGAATACGTTACAATAGTCCACAAATACAGCATTTTTTCTCCCTATTTTCTTAAAATATACTTGTTGTATTGCACTACTTATGATAAGATGTATTTAATAAGAAGCTTTCATCACCAACAAATGAAAAAAAAAACAATTAAGTAAATGATGAAGCATTCTGTATTACTCCTTAAACTATCAATTTCTAGCATCTAATTTATACTCATTAGGTGTTGGATTACCCTACAATCAAAGTTAATTATATACATAGCACGTCCCTCTATATATATTCCATGCTATAATACAAAATCAGACTATATATAATACACATGCGTTTGTTGTTGACAAATAAAAACAAAAAAATCACATGCGTTTTTTCACATTATTAGCTAAATACAAATCTATAGAAGGATAAAAATATCAATTTTAGAAAAATGCTACTTTACATTGATTAATTATTAAACAAACATTGATGTACTAATTCAAATAATAAAAATTCGTATTCGTGTAATTAAAAAGCCTTCATACCATTAGTGCCTTGGTGCTTAATACACATTTGCATACTTATAGTTATAATTATTTTCTTAATTAGACACTTCAATCAATAATTTAAGTTATTCACAATATTTTAAAAGTTTTAAAGCTAATTTTGGTGTGTCCAACCACTCTTTTGTCATTATTTCTCCACATGGAATTTGTTTTAAGACATTCTATCAATCGCTATATTATTTCCATTTTTTCTCAATTTTTTTGAAACTTATGAACTTAATCACTTTAACCATATCTATTATATATGGCCCCATTCACTCACCAACCAAGGGCAAATACGTCATTTCAGCTTCTCCTTCTTCCCCATTTAAGATCCTCCCTCTCCACTTGAATCATCGCCGTAAAAAAATAAAACTTTATCTCTCTCTCTCTCTCTCTCTCTCTCTCTCTATCAGTGAAAAGCTATGAACAATCTCATCTCCCGTATGATCCTTCTCTTCATCACTCTCCTCCTCTCTTTCCCTCTCTCCTCGCCGTATTATCCAACGGTCCATGAGGTTCTCCGATCAAAAGGTCTCCCGGCGGGACTTTTACCGCAAGAAGTTGATTCTTATATTCTTCACAACGACGGTCGTCTCGAGGTTTTCCTCGCGGCGCCGTGTTACGCTAAATTCGAGACGAACGTGCACTTTGAAGCCGTCGTGAGAGCGAATCTTAGCTATGGGAGCCTCATCGGAGTAGAAGGGCTATCGCAAAAAGAGCTCTTCTTGTGGCTTCAGGTGAAAGATATCGTCGTCGAGAATCCAAATTCCGGCGTCATTGTGTTTGATATCGGCGTTGCTTTTAAACAGCTTTCGCTTTCTCTCTTTGAAGACCCACCCAAGTGTAACCCTGACGGTAATTTTTGGATTAAAACAAAACTATTTTTTGGTTTAATTAATTTTTAGTTTTAATCTGTTTTTTGGTTTGTTATGATAAATATAGTTGTTTGGATTTTCTTAATTTAATATATACATATATAGTATACAATTATACCATCTTAATTTTCGTTTTTCCTATTTTTACTTTTGTCAGCATAGAAATATTGTTTCAGAAATTTGGCATTCATCAGTTAACTAAATTAGTCGGCTTTGAAGCTTATTTGTTCTAATTGAAATTAGTTTAGTTCTGTGAAAAGTACATTTTTGTGTTAATTACTGTTTTTTACCCCAAAAAATTTGAAATATTGAAGTCTTTCTTTACAAAGTTCTAGGTTGAATGTTTGTTGCAAAAATTAACATTTTCAAAAAGGAAAAAAGAAGGTGACTATGACTAATATCAATGTGATAAGTTACAGAGTTAGTTCTAGTGTATTTTTTGTTTCAATGTCAAATAATATCAGTTTTCGCTCTATTATTCGTTAAGATTTTTATTTTTTTTCAGATCGAGTGGAGAAAACTATCGAATTTAATTGCAAAATTAGTTCGTTTTTCAAAAAAAAAAGAATACTATTGTTATTGTGGCTTGTGGGGAATAGAAGTGGTACAGTGAAGTCATGGGCTTTGGGTTTGTGTTTTTTCTTTCTCGTTTATGTTTTGATGACTTTGAAAACTCTTTTGGATTTTATTGTCTGATATATTTGCCAGTTTCAATACGAGTCTTGTCTCTGTAACTGCTGACATAACATTTCCTTTCCTTCTTTTACTTTCTTGTTTTTTACTTGAATAAGTAGTATATTCGATCAGTAACTTTTACCAAATTTTATCATTTATTTTTACTTTTCCAAATATGAGTATTATGTACAGTTCTCTTTTCCTAGTTCGAATAACCCACTTCAAGAAATGGTAAGAATGCATAATTTGTTCGAAATTACGCTGTTTCAAAGATCTTTTTTCATTTTAAGCAAAGCAAATGAGAAGATTTATGATTGGATTTATGTTTCAGGTGTTTTGAAGAAAAAAATGAGAAGAGATAGAGGATTTGAAGCTCAAATATGAGAAGTAGAGAGAAAGACCTAGAGCAGCCCCATTGTCCATTTGAAAATTTCCAAAATTGTGAACTAATCTAAAAGATTAGTATGCTAATTATATGAGTAGAATAGAATTTTGTTTGAGAGTTCTTGTAAAAATGAGACTCCCCATGTTCTATTCTATGTTTTGTGTTTTAGTTTAAAAATCTGTATCTCATTGTCTTTGACTAAATTGATGATGTTTATCGTTTTGTGATAGTTACAAAGTTGCTCCAAAACGTAAACTAATTTAAATTTGGTCGAAGACCTTCGGTTAAAATATAGTTTAGTGTTAAAGACATCAGTGGACTTTAGAAGGATTTTACATAAGTTGATTTGTGGAAAATTCAAATTTTCAGGTATAAGAACTTAGGGACATCAATTTTTGGAAAGCTAGGTCTAAATGAAACTGAAGTAAATCTTATAAATAAATACGTTACTCATTATAACATTTTTTCTGTTTGTGAGTTGCGAACTAGTAGAATGAAGTTTTGTGGTTATACACAACACTAATGTAGAACAACGATTTGCAACAAACAAAGATAATAATTGCTTAACAAAACTAAACGAAATATCTCTAAAAAAGATTGGTTGGCTTCGATTCTTTTTATTCAAGTCGTCCTTAATTAGCTTTGAATACTCTTTAATCAAACCTTTCTCTTACGCAGAAAAAGAGAATAAACGTGTTTCTCGGCAACAAATCAGCATCTATTGTGACCGAACCATCAAACAATCCTCCTGGATCTTGATTATGCTTCTACACAGTCTTAATTATTTTCAGAACTTGAACCAGTTTCTCCTAAACCTCAAATTTAGATTGCGACATAAAACGGAATGAAATAGTATAGAGATAAGAATACGACATTTTTTTCGATATTTCAACATTTCAAACAAAATGAAGTGTGCATGATTTCAAACAAATTATTTGCATCCTATACACAGTCTATTTTTTTCTTTTTAAGTTAGTAACGTTTTTGCCCAAAAAAAAAAAAATTAGTAACGAAAAAAATCTCGTATGGCTTCTCTACTTTTGTCCCTCTCTTTGCATGATTTCAACATTTGTTTTTCAATTTTTTTTTAAACTTCCATCAAAGTTAAACAATGTGCTTACCCTATAAATGAAGAAAACGGATCATGACAAAAGGTTAAATCATAAGCACTGTGCACTAGATGTAGAAACTGAAACCATATCGACTCAAAACTAGCTCGATGGACAAAAAAGGTCCTCCAAACATTGAAGATGGGAAAGATTTGTCCATCTTAATTAATTTGTCTTTGTGTAGCGGTTTTAATGGGGTCTAAAAATGTATTAGAACTCACTTCAGCGAGACTTGGAGGTAATGTGATGACTTGCTTATCAACGTCACATTTCACAGCTTGTTGTTCCTTGATTTGAATACTTCCTTTCATGTTTGTTTTCCGCACATCCCTATGGTTATTTGTATTGATTCCAAACTTTGTAATATTGTATGATATATCAAGACTTCACCAAGGAATCAAAACGTTTGGATAAATGGGGATGACTATGACTTTTACCATTCTGACTAATAATTTACACATAACGAGCAAAATCAAAATAAACCCACATGCAACATCATAGTAGAATATACGAAACCAAAAAATCTCAACTATCTTTAATAAAATCAGTTTCTAAATTCAAGGAAAAATAACACAAACCGTAACCGAAACTTTACGTGATTGTAAAGAAAATTAATAAATGATCCTTTCAATTTTATTAATGAAAAATTAAAATGCCAAATTCTCTGTATCATAAAAATAATATTCACTGAACAAAATCGGGAAATTATATATAGACCGAATCTACTCGAACAAATAGATTCGTTAATAAGATATACCTTGACCTAGTAAACCTTGATTACATAAAGATTATTTCCTAATTACGATAATTAATAAATATTAAATATCGCCCATTTATTGCTCACGTCATCATTTTACCTTCGCGGATAAGGTATTCTCTTTCTTTAAGAATCTTCATCGAAATCGCAACTATACATTTTCCAAAATATCTCCGAATTCGTAATTGTGATCAATCTTCTGCGATTCAAGCTTTGATCGATCGAAGAATCATGGGAGGAGGAAGAGCTATGGCGACGGCAGCGAAGGTTGCTGGAATTGGAGTTGCTAAAGGAGGATTCAGGGGAGGATTTGGATTTCCTCCGGCGACTGAACATTTTAGGGTTAAAACCGCGGCGGCGGCGGCGGCGTCTATACCGGTTTCGGCTTCGCTTTCATCGGCGGTTCATCCTTCTGTTGAAGAAGACGGTATGATTATGCAGAGACCGGTTTGGGATGATTGGGAATTTGCTGAAGAAGAGCCGATTCCTAGGGTTGTTTTTAGCAAACCTCCTAGTCTTGAAGAGGCTAAAGAAGCTACTGAAGATCTGAAAGAAGCAATTAATATGTAAGATTTGATCCTAATTTGTGTTCTTGGTTTTTTGATTCTGTAAATCTTGAATTATTGAGAATTTGAGGATTTTTGCTTGAATTTGATGAATTAGGGTTAGGTCTGAAACTCTTTGAAGTATAAGTTTGTGATTATGTGTATGTTGATGGTTGTTAATGGATTAGGGTGTATATGTCATCTCCAAAGTCGTCTACTGCTATGGAAGGATCAAATGATGGTGGTGCTGTTTCCAAAATGCTCTCAGGTTTTCAATCTTCTGAGAACAGAGCTGTTGAATCAGCTGTTCCACAAGTTGCTCTTCAAGCATTTGCTTTTCTGAGTGAAAACACCGCTGCGCAGGTATATCGATTTCCTCTTTTGCTCGGTTAAAATGGTCTCTGCTCTTGTTTGGTATATGTCTCAGATTGCTTCGTATATAACCCTTTTGATTTAACAGAGCTTTGTTAACTCTTTCACACGTTTGCTTATAACAGACTGTTGTTGCTTCCATTGCGTGTGACCCAAAAGTATGGGATGCTGTTATGGAGAATAAGGATCTCATGAAATTTCTCCAGACCAACAATACTGGTAAATAAAACTTTTCCGCAACTAGTGAATCATTTGGTGTATATGTCTTGATGATAAAGCAACTTAACAGAAACTTTGTCTAATTTTCAGCTGCTTCCTCTCAAGTTGAATCTGACAATGACGACCAATCTGAACATTCTAGCTCGACGGAGTGTGAAGTCATGGAAACTAAGCCGATGGAACTCTTAGAGATTCTGCAGGACATGAAGCTAAAAGCTGTTCGATTGATGGAAAATGTCTCTTCTTACTTTGGGGACTTGTTTGGGTTAGGATCAGTTACAGAGGATGGAAAAGACAAGAAGCAGACGTTGTTCAACGACCCTCGTTCTCTGTTTGGATTAGCTGTGGTTGTCATCTTTATGGTAGTTTTAAAACGTGCTTAAGGTCTCTTGTTCCTGAATTCGCCGATATAGCGGAAAAAACAACTACGTACTGTGTGATTTCGTTCTTTTGCTTTATTATCGTTTAAACTCTGTTTTTTGTTTAATTGGAATGATTTGGAACCGTCTCTGGATCTTTTCATATTATATAAATAAAAAGATCCTTTGGATGTTTTATCGTTTATTTTCTTTTGATCTTTTCATGTTATATAAATGTTTAGTCATCAGGATTTGTAAGCTGATTGAATGTCTCCATCTGAATCGGATGGAACCAAAGGTTTTCATTACCTCACCAAAGAGTTTGGGAGTTTCCACGTAGTAACCTTGTCTCATTTGACCATAATATTTTACGGATACGTTTTAAGAAACAAAAATGTTAAGAGTTTGTTTAGCATTAAAAGTAGAAAATAGAAAAGGGAAGCTAATGATATTTGGTCGAGAGAAAAATCTCAAAAAAGATCGTGTGTGAACACAATTAATTAGGAGATGGAAGACTTGGTAAGCAAAGCCATTCCTCTGTATTAATTTAGGTAGAGAAGATGTGAACATGGTCAAGGTTTTGTTGTTTCTCATTCAGAAAATCAAACATCATGTCTCTGCTTCTCAGCCGGCTCTCGAGGCTTGGCCTTGGGAAACCTGTTGCATTAAGCTGGTCGGTTACTTGAAGCCCAAGATACAAGTCGGTTGAGTTAATGGGCTTTGTGATTAGGTCTAGGAGTAATCTAGGTTCTAATCTTAGTAGGTTTAGGAGTCATCTAATCCTATAAATATGTTTGTTTGTTAAGTTGTGGCAAACATTAAGAATTTGAGAGAAGAGATTTGAGAGAGAGCTTTAGTTTTGAGAGATTTTCTAAAGCAATAGTGTTCTTGATTTCTCTTTCAAATTCTAGAATTGGTATCAGAGCTTAGGGAAAGTCCGAGAGCGAATAGGAAGAGAAGTGTTTCTCTCTTTCTAGACATACAGAAGACATGTTCGAGCTTGCTGTTACAACCGGAAAGCCAAAGGAAGGTGGCGGATCTTCCTCGATACAGTGCCCGATGTTGAACTACACGAATTACACAGTTTGGTCCATGAAGATGAGGATAACACTCAAGGTTCATAAGGTTTGGGATGTTATAGAACCAGGAACAGAACTAGTTGATCAGGATAAGAGCGATATGGCTACTGCTCTGTTATTTCAATCAATCCCTGAGACACTTGTATTACAAGTTGGAGAACATAAAACAACAAAGAAGGTATGGGATGCAATAAAGGCGAGACATGTAGGAGCAGAGAGAGTCAAAGAGGCTAGGCTACAAACCCTCATGGATGAATTTGATAAACTGAAGATGAAAAATTCTGAGAAAATTGATGATTTTGCGGGAAAATTGTCTGAATTATCATCAAAATCAGCTGCTTTGGGAGTGATAATTGAGGAACCAAAATTAGTTAAGAAGTTCCTTAAAAGTCTTCCCCGGAAAAGGTTTATCCATATAATAGCCTCGCTAGAACAAGTACTGGATCTTAACACCACAGGCTTCGAAGACATTGTTGGAAGTCTGAAAGTTTATGAGGAATGAGTATTTGAAGAAGAGGATAGTCAAGAAGAACAGAGCAAGCTCATGTATGCTAATACAGAGAATCAGTCATATCAAGCAAACCGTGATTACAATGGAGATTTTAGAGGCAGAGGTCGAGGAGGACGTTTCTATAGTAGGGGAAGAGATCGTGGAAGGTTTAATGGAGGAAGAGACCTATCAAAAGTAACATGTTACCGCTGTGATAAGATGGGTCACTTTGCCTCAAATTGCCCCGACCGTCTACTTAAACTACAAGAAGCTCAAGAGAATGAGAA